GCCTCCAACGACACCGAATAATAATTTATTTGGAAACAGCCACAAATCCACTTGAGGTATTCACTTTTCAGTTGCATTTTAAATATTGCCTTAAGTTACTGTGCCTCACTGAAAATAGTCTCTCCAGAATTCTTGCCAATGAACTGATTAAACTTAATACCTTTTGGTTTAAATATTGGAGCAATTTGGCGGAAATATACCCTTGCGGGTTCTACAGGTCTTTGGAATGCTTTTTGTTATGGAACAACCAGTTGGCAACAATACGGTTTGCAATAACTCAGCAAGATTGGGAGCAGTGTAAATTTCTGAGTCATGGTCTTAATTTTTTTTAAATTCTTGGATGACTGCTGTTGGGATTTAATTGGGCGCGAGTTGAGTTGTTTGTTTAAGCTCAAGTGTAAACTCCTTTATTTGAATTACATTCCATGGCTTGACAGGGAATACACGGATTGCCCACTCAGTAACCTGTCAGTAAAGGAAGAACTGTTCCAATTTTTGGCTGAATGTTCAATGCTTAGTCAAACTCGTATCGAATTTCTTGGAACTAGCCCGGTTCGAAATATATTTTAATTTCCCTTCTAAATGCTCCCTCTGTGAACGAATGTCGTAAGATTGTCAGTTTTGCTCCACCGTTGTGGATCAGTGGATCCACCGTTTTAATTTGCTACATGCAACATAGACAATGATCCTTCTAATTTATTAATGGCCAGTTTTATTCATGTTATTGTTTATGATTTCCCTTATTTTCCTTTATTATTATTTCTTAGACATAAATTATTCAAAATATTTATTATATTTTATATATGTATTTGTTGTTTTAGTATTTATCAGTTATTCATGTATATGTAATTATTATAAAGTCTTTATTTGCACTGTACCTGTAAAATATACAAAAATTTCCGGCGCAGGAATAATTATGCCCTATAAATATTCTGTATTTATGTGTATTCAATAAAGCATTTCTCATTCATTTATTCATTTCTCATATTTTGAAAGTTGTTTTTGTCCTCCTAGATTGGCGATCTACTTAATTTATGCAATATCGTCGATGTAATGTAACAGCCCCACTTGCGTGTCAGTAACTCCTTGCTTCATTTTTATACAAGACAATTAGAATTCAGCCATCTTAAATTTTTCAGAGCCTACAATTTAAATTCTCAATTCAATCCCGTCCCATTAGCTCCCGTACTTCCTACCTTTGTCCTCCTCACCGAACTGAAGTGTTTGACAAATCCTTTTTAATTCAAGCCCTCTTCTTTTGTAATTCTATTCCTGCCGATATCCGACACGTACAATCGGTTTCCTCATTCAAATCTCTCCTCAATCAATACTTACTCCTTTCCCAATCCGAGTGATTATGAGATGTACACGAGGGAACTTTTTTAACCCCAGAAACTATTTCGTTTACTTATGTCATCTTATTTTCCTTTGTTTATTATATATAGCATTTCCAAGTCAATTTCAACCTTTTCCAAATCAAATTCAACCTTTTCCAAGTCAAATTAAACCTTTTCCATTTCAAATTAAACCTTTTCCAAGTCAAATTCAACCTTTTCCATTTCAAATTCAACTTTCGAATTTTTGTCAATTTTCAATTTTTTTCGAAATGAAGGCCACTTACTATATTAACGAAGGTATAGCTTTTGAAAAATACAAAAAAAAATTTGATAACGCGGTTGCATATCCGTTTATTTTAACATTTTAGATTTTTTCAGTGTGATATTTCTATGTCATTTCCAAGTCAAATTCAACCTTTTCCAAGTCAAATTCAACCTTTTCCAGATCAAATTAAACTTTTTCCAAGTCAAATTCAACCATTTCCATTTCAAATTAAACCTTTTCCAATTCAAATTCAACCGTTTTCATTTCAAATTAATGTTTTAATTTTTTGTAAATTTTAAATATTTTTTTTAAAATAATGGCCCTCCCCTCCCCCACTCCAATATGAAAGTCTATTATTATGCTCTTCTAAGTAGAATTTTCACTTGCGGATATCGATTTATTGTACCTATTCGGATTTATTAGGGACTAGTATTATGCTGTCCTGTACCTAGTTTTGAAAATAACCTCCTTTTTAAGATTAGACAACCGCGTTTCGACTTATTTGAGTTTTTCGGATATTTTTCATATGAGGGTTTATTTTTATGTTTCGGGAGCTGTAGATTTTGAAAATGACCTCCATTTTAAGATTAGGCCACCGCGTTTCGACTTATTTGAGTTTTTCGGATATTTTTCATAAGAGGGTTTATTTTTATGTTTCCGGAGCTGTAGATTTTGAAAATGACCTCCATTTTAAGATTAGGCCACCGCGTTTCGACTTATTTGAGTTTTTCGGATTTTTTTCATATGAGGGTGTATTTTTATGTTTCCGGAGCTGTAGATTTTGAAAATGACCTCCATTTTAAGATTAGGCCACCGCGTTTCGACTTATTTGAGCTTTTCGGATATTTTTCATATGAGGGTGTATTTTTATGTTTCCGGAGCTGTAGATTTTGAAAATGACCTCCATTTCATGATTACGCCATTGGATTTTGACTTATTTAAGTTTTTCGAATTTAGCCAATTTAAAGGTCTACTTTTATGTTTTCGGAACCGTAGATTCTGAAAATGATCTCTATTTTATGATTACGCCACTGCGTTTCAACTTATTTAAGTTTTTAGAATTTAACAAGTATAAAGGTCTATTTTATGTTTCTGGAGCAGCAGATTTCCCCCATTTTGTAAATGACCCAATTTCAAGTTTATGCCACTGTGTTTTGGATTATAAAAGTTTTTTTTTTTTTACTTTTTCGGTATAAGAATCTACTTATATGTTATCCGAGACGCATTGAAATTTTTCTAATCTTTAATATTTAAATTTATCTAATATTTAAGCTCCATTTTATGATTAACCCGCTGCATCTCGAATAATTAGGCTTCATTTTGGATTTTTACAATACAAAGTTTCATCAATATGTTTTCGAGTATGAATAAATAAATAAATATTATGAAGCTAAAGTTAAATTAACCACAGAATACAAACTAAAAAGCCGAAAAGCAGCTGGTAATAAATTTAACCTTCCGTATTCAGATTTTTCAGCTAATTGTTGGAAATCTTATAATTTTGTGACAGGAGACTACAACATTAAAAAAGATAACTAAAATTAAATTAAAAACGAGACAATACATATTTTATTTATTTTGATTAGATATTTTTATTTATTTATTGACAAATAAATTAATCCTTCATATTTTGTTTTTTATTCGAAGGAAAAATCAAAAACACTTAAAAAAACCGAAACACAGTGGCCTAATCTTTTGAAAATGACCTCCATTTTAAGATTACGCCACTGCGTTTCGGCTTATTAAAGTTTTTCGAATTTATCCAATTTAAAGGTCTACTTTTATGATGCCAGAGCCTTAGTTTTTAAAACGATTTACATTTTAAGATTAGGCCACTGTGTTTAAATTTATTACCAGCTACTTTTCGGCTTTTTAGTTTGTATTCTGTGGTTAATTTAAATTTAGCTTCATAATATTTATTTATTTATTCATACTCGAAAACATATTGATGAAACTTATGATATTCTCATCCTCTCTCTTTTTTTATGAGGGGCGAGCAAGTAATAACAGGTATATGACAGATCAAATCGAATTACCCTTCATTAATCCTGTCGAGAAAATCCCATGATTCTCTCTAGAATTATTGATAAAAGTATTAAAATAAACGCCGACTTCATATCATTTTGTCTCCAGGAGACCATGATCAGGCCATCCAAGAGCGACAGGTCCAGCTGATAACTGCTTCATTGCTCTCAGACGGTCAGAAACCGTTACCAGACTTCAGGTTGAAACTTCTCACCGATTGCGTATTGCTCGGGATGCAAATTCCAGAGCGCGTACAGTGCGAAGGCTTGCTGAACTCAATCTGCACGCTGGGGTTTCCGCTTGCGGCTATCTACTAATGGGAACACACCGTCGCTTTTGTCGTGAACTTGCTCCCTGGACAGAAGATGATTTAACCTCTGTTGTTTTCTGACGAGTCCAGATATAGCATTTATGGCGCATACGGACGAGTTCAAGTGTGGATAAGACCAGGTAAGCAAGATACTCAGTGCAATAAAGCGGGAAGAGTATAGTTCGGAGGAGGGTTGGTGATGGTTTGGGGTGGAATATGGTTAGAGTAAAGAACAGATCTCGACGTGTTTCAAAGGCTCACTCTCAATGCAAACACGTAATCACCGACATCCTCGAGGAATATGTAGTACCTTTTGGGCAGTTTATCGCTCTCCGCTTTCTTTTTGAGCAGGATAATGCTCGGTCGCTCTTCGAAAATGTCGCACTGAACTACTTAGACGAGGTTAGTGTCCACATCTTGTAGTGGATAAGCTCGCAGCCCTAACTTAAATCGTATTAAACATCTTCGGGACCAGCTTAAGATGTCCATCCGTCGACAACACAACCTCCATGTTATCTTCAAGTACATGAAATGGATCGCATTCAAGATGGGTAATCACCTTATTCGTAGTATGCCTACGAGAATACAGGCCGTTATAAAGAAAAGGAAGGCACTAGAGACCCAGATAATTTCATAATTAAAAAAAAAAAAGATTATGTTTCTGTTGTTTACAATAGAGTTAATTTGCTTTATTTTACATTAAGATTTTTTAAATAAATTTTATTTGTGTTTTTTTTTTATTTGTGGTATTCCACAAGAAGAGTATGTCACATTTTATTGAGAAAATAAACGAGAAAATTTAAGGTTCCTCCGTTTAACACAAGATGGTTATGTACATATGATGCACCTAATCTGTCAGTGTTATCATTATGCTACACTAGCTCTTAAATTTTCCTTTGAGATATCAATATATTAAAAACTGTTCGTCGTGATATTGTTAAACAACAAATTCCAAATCAGTAAATATATTTTCACAAACATTAGGTTTTTAGTTGTTCCTGAGTCGTCTGTTTTGCATTGAGCTTATCTTACAGGAATGACATTGTTTTGGAAACAGTAAAAGGAAGATGATAACAATGAAGGCAGGTTACAATAGTTTTGATTATTAATGTCAATCGTTATCATTCTGAAACAATTTAATGGCTGGTATAGTTCTTAAATTATTCTACAGCTGCAGTTTCACTTTGCTTTAGATAGTTTATATATGTAGAGATCTGTAAATGTCTTAGTTGTTTTCTTTGAGAACTTCATAAAATGTATTGCACTACTTACTTCATGTTTTTAATTTTTCGTACCAATATTTTATCTTTTAATTTCTAGAAATAATTTGAGTGAACTACACACTGAAATGTCAACTACAAAATAGTTGTCAACATTCTCTGAATAACAAAAACATTGAAATTTGTTATATGATGTATTTAGTTTAGACAGCCAATAATAAGGTAAGCTTATGTTCCTTATATGCTACTATATATTTTTTACATTTGAAATCCTAATTTTTGTCACTGAGCTTAATAAATGGATACTTAAATTTTTTTAATTAATAATTATAATGAGTCATATTGCTTTCTGTGAATATCATTATTACAGCTTTGAAGTATAAATAGACTATTTGTTTTGGTTTTTGATCCTATTTAAATTTTATACAATCATTCTCCATATTTTTTATCATGAATATTTATAACTTCTTAAAATACTCTTGTGTTGTCTATTATCATTAATGTGCCTTAAGTTTCTACTATTTATAACTTCCTAAAACTGAAATATATTTCTTGGATGAAAGTTTTGAAGATGGAAACTCTATTGAGAGCTAATAAGTTCATGGTATCCAATAGTATAAGCTAGACGCTGGCAAACCTTTATGTAGCTGTGTCTAGATTTTTATGATAAAACTCCATACCCATATTTTACTTTACCGCTTGTTATCTTTACAAATATCAAGAAAATTTAGGATTTTTTCTATTTTTATTGTTTTCCTTAATTTTCACCAGCAATTAAAAGTTTAAAAATCATGCAAGTACCCAATTGTCTTATAACTCAGTTATCTTACCAAGAGCTTGGTACTACTTCATGAGATTACCGCATGTATTTGACATGATTCACAATCACTTTTTCATGAGATGCAGAAAACAATTGAATGTTATGACGTCACTTCTTGTCTCAACCTCCCATTCACCTTTGACACATTTTTGAAAAACCTGCGTATTCTTACCATAAAACTTCCTTGATAACAATTTATTAACGAATTATTTATTAAAATTATGTTTTTTATAATGGTTATTATTATGTAAGAAAAAATCAATAAAATATCTTGATGTAGAGATGGTTGACCGTTGATATAATATGAGAAGGAGTTAGTCGAGGGTGCGGTCAAATAAATAAAAAAAAAAAATTAAAATATATTAATTATTTTAATTTTTGCCGACGTTTCGACCCACTTCGCAGGTCGTCTTCAGGGCTACAAAAGATACAAAACATGTTGAAAATAAAAAATAAATATAAGTATATATAAAATACGAAGAAGTTGTCAGATACAGAAATAAAAGATGGTATCAGAGATATAGTGGGTGACAATGTAGTTAAATATTAAGAATTATATATGTAGAAGATACAAATAAATGGAAAATAAGTAGGAATAAAATAAAAATAAAGGAGAATATAGCATGTAAGTTAAAAGTAAACAGATTGCGATAAAAGATAAGGAATAAGTGTATAACAAACTAATAGAGATTACATTAGATAACTGTGGGTTAACAGATAAAGAAAATAAATACATGAATGTTAACGAATAAATTAATGTTAACGAATAAATAGATTGAAAATTGAATAACTATTGTTACAGTAAAGTTAAAATATGGATAAGATAACATAATAATAAGATATCAGTGGATAACAAGCAAGTGGAGGTTACCTTTAAAAAAAAAAAAAGTTTACTTTTAACTTACATGCTATATTCTCCTTTATTTTTATTTGTATTCCTACTTATTTTTCCATTTATTTGTATCTTCTACATATATAATTCTTAATATTTAACTACATTGTCACCCACTATATCTCTGATACCATCTTTTATTTCTGTATCCGACAACTTCTTCGTATTTTATATATACTTATATTTATTTTTTATTTTCAACATGTTTTGTATCTTTTGTAGCCCTGAAGACGACCTGCAAAGTGGGTCGAAACATCGGCAAAAATTAAAATAATTAATATATTTTAATTTTTTTTTTTTTATTTATTTGACCGCACCCTCGACTAACTCCTTCTCAAAATATCTTGAAGGCAAGATATTGAACAACAAAGTTGTTTTTAGGAATTTAATTTTTATTGACACATGCTTATATGTAGTAGATCACTCACATAAACAAATATGGGCCATTGAACCAAAAAAATATTTTTCTATTTTGGGCAAGGGCTTCAGCCTGGTTAAGGATATACAAGTGCTTTTATGGTAGAAAATGTATTTGTAACTAACTCAAGATCGGTCGCCTTCATACTCTTTTGGATAAACCCGGATATTTTGGGCGTTTCATGAACATGTCATTTGAAGTGGTTGTGAATCTTGTCTGATCCATGCGGAACTTTTGTGAACCAGTACCAAGAGTTTATTTTTTCTACTGCTTATCTACTCACCTAAAAGATTTTTTCTGTTTGTACAGGCAATATTTGTTCCTTATATTTGAGATGCTTAAAGTTGTGATCTTCTGAAACGTTTACATCTAACATTTTAGGTATCGTTAACATACAATTCCAGCTTTTTACAAGCTGTATCTCTGGTCTCTTCAAGGAAGATATCAGTCATTCCATATATACATAGTATGCTGTAATGCATACTGGACAACTTTTAGACATATTTTTACAAGTTTCTCCACAAAATTAATACTTTATCTGTTCGAATTTTATTTTATCTTAAATAAATGTTAAACAATTTGTTTTTTTACAACTCTGGGATGCTTGGAAGCTATTTTGATACTGCTGTAAAAATGTCACTCCACTTTAATGGTTGGCACTAGATCTCATTATGAAACCATAAATGGAATCCCAAGAATGGGTGAGTGTGTGAGACAGTAGACAGTAGAAGAAGTGGCCGAACCTTCTGGTAAGGTGTTGACCTAAACGGAAAAAAGGAGCCGTTGGAGGGAGGTTTGTTTATCACTTTTGAGTGAGGGGAAGTCCATAGCAGCGATGTTATGAAAGCTAATTAACGTCCCCTTTTAACTGGAAGGAACATTTTACAGAACCAGTAGGAGAATTTGTCAAAATCATAAATCACTGTCTAAATAAAGAGAGGTTACACTGGTAACATGTTCTCTGCTATTCACCGAATCCCATTTATTGCTTGATTAGGTAACACTTGTTCAGTGATACCACTATAATATCTCACAATTGCTGTAACAATATATCTATTTGAAATAGCTTCTGTTTATTGATCTATATAGCATGAAACTGTATACCAAAGGCGGTTAATGTTTGTATTTTCAAAATATATCTAATGAATCAAGTATATATTTTGTGTTATTAATTTGTATTTACTAAAAATCTGTCAAATTAATTGATGTGTTCAATATTAATTCTATTTTTTTATTACAGATATTTTTACTTGTGCTGAGAAATATTGGTTCCCATCATGTTTTATGCACTAATATTTAAAAGCTGGTGTATATCAAAAAGGAAATATTTCAGTACAATATTGAGTATTGTTTGGCCAAATTTAATTTTATTAGCTATTATTTTCATTAAAGATTCTCAGAATCATGGAAGCCTACCATCTATACAACAAAATGAAATTATACCTGACCAATTAGCAAAAGAATCTTTTTTGAAAGGATTGCACAGTTTTAATTTAGCTTACACCCCAATAAATGAATTTACTAACAGAATTATGTCAAGTGTGAATATAAATAACAAAGGTAGGTAAATTTTTATTGCTTTCTATCATTATTACTTGTGTTTTATTTAATTTTATTTCAAATAATTATTACAAAGCTAATCTAAATACTTTTTTATATTGAAAATAATATGATACTAGTGATAGTTATGCTACAAGATCAGGGCTTGAATCTTTTATGAAACATTTTAAAGAATTAACAATAAAAGTTTCTTCAAAAGAACTTTCTTAAAAAAAGTTTCTAGAATTTTTTTTAAAATTAATTTCTGATTTTATTATAGAAATTTAAGGTTTGTTGAAGCTCTTTAAAAAATTTGTTTAAAGAGAAATGAAGCTGTATAAATACTTTGTATATATTTATGTATACAATGTATAAATTTATACAGGTATAAATACTTTGTTATGAATTGACTAATCCTTAGTTCTTTACTTGAATGGCTATTTAGTTACCATTTTTTTATATTTATTTTTTGGTGGAATGATTCTCTTTGTAAGATGTTTTAAATAAACGTTTTTAGAATATAAGTTCTGTTAAATTTTTTTTTTGAAAAGTGACCCTAGAAAGAGTTCCAGTTTCAGAAGAACAGAAAAGGAGGAAAAAATAAAAATTCCAGTCATATCTTAACTAATAAAAAATTAAATTTTTATTTCAAGCCATGAATAACAAAGATGTTGGCCTTATACAATAAAGAATGAATAGGCCGACGCTCTCCTTACCATTCTATGTGTAGATATTTTTTAGAAAACAGTCAAACCTCGTTTCAGGAGTGGCTTAATTTTATCATAAAAAAACAAAAAAAATTGATCTACGAAAATTCTTGGAATTGGGGCATTTTTAATCTGGAGATTGATAAAAAATGTCAATTTAATGTGGTAATAAAAACTCATGAACATCCATTTGCTTTCCATTTGAATCTTGAGATAGTTTGATTTCAAAATCGAGAACAAATATGGCCTACAAAAATATTGGGCCGTTTGGTGTGACCATAAACCTGTCAAAAATTGGAATGTTATGAAAATTTATGAGCATTCATTTGATTTTCACGTTATTGGTCAATATAGAGGAGATTGACATTATTGATAAATTAAATGCCTGCCAATTTCCTCAAATCTATTCCTTAAACATGTCAATTTCACGAAGTGTCCTTACTGATTAACATCAATGAAGTCTTCTTTGTTTATTATATTAATATCCATATTTTCAACACTTTCTAAACAGATAAATATTTGGAGATAGTAATTATAAATGTCATATTTTTTTTTTTATTATATTTTCTATGTATTTGCTGCTATAAATTTTTTTTTGTTTTTAATCCTTAATTCATTGTTTGTTTCATATTTAGTTACTTTAGTGCCTTCAAAGACAGCTTCAGATATTGAAAAATGGTTTGCCTCAATTAAAAGTCAACCTACTTCACTCTTTGTACAATGTTTTGGCATCATATTTAATAGTCCTGAGAATATAACCAAACCTCCACCAAACTTCAGTTACACGGTTAGATGGATGCATAATTATGTCCCAACTGATTCAATGTTCCCTGAAATAGAAAAACCAGGTCCTTTAGAAGCAGGAGGTATGTTGACATTAAAATTACATTATACTATTGTTCATAGATTTATACTTTATTTAGAACCTGTTAGTGTGTTATATGTGAGCAACTATAATTTAATCTGTTACATAATATAATTTAATCTGTAAATGTATTAGTGATTCAAATGTTAAACTTAATATTTTTACTGACTAATCTCAGCAGGATCGTTTCTATGAGTATTTTGTCAACCAACATTAAAAAGCACCCAATTTTTAAGATAAGATAAATTGCAATGTTGCAGCTAATATTTAGACTCAAGAAGATCCCTTCCTTGAAAAATCTGGAGGTTTAGAGAATAATGTTCAAAAAATGGTTTAGTAGTTTATCAAGTAACCTATTTTACTGATATACAATATATATATATATATATATATATATATATATATATATATATATATATATATATATATATATATATATATATATATACCACATATACATACAAATACAATTTATCGACCAAATGCAGAAATCGTTATTGTTTCTTTGTATTCAATTTGATTTTTTTTTTTTTAAATCAGGTTCTTTTAGCACCAAGTCTAGAATTTTTTATAAAACAAAAGGTTGTAAGGGTATTGACACATGTAGAAAATAATGGAATTCCATCGGAATCAGGGTTGGATAATGAAAGATCTGTTGAAAGTAGTGGTTGATTGGTCATTGTATATAATTCTGAAGACTGAGACTGGGTATTATGGGAATGAACAGGTATCTGGCATTTTTTGAGATTTCCAAATATCAGGAATTTTATGAGTCAATTCTTCGACCACTGCTAACTTTCCATTTTTCAGAAACTTCCCTGTTAGCTGTCTGACCCTAGTGCCTTACTATTTATTAGGTAGTTCAGAATAAGGCTAATATTGTCTGATTAGAGGGGAATGACTTCAAGATAATTTTTATAATGCTGGAAATTCTAGTTCTTCCCAAAATCTTCTTGCTGGGAGTTCAGCTGTTTTCCAAAATGCTCTTTCCAACTATTTGGTCCATCTTAATCCAATTCCTAATTTAGCTCACCTAAAAACTTTCTGCAATTGAAAAATGTATTAGCTTATAAAAAAATATATAGCAAACAGATTTACATAAAACTTAAGAAATCATAATTTTAAAAGCAGATTTATCATTCAATCGTTATTACACTAAAGTCTGTGACATATGCATATACCCCATTCTGTTTTAAGCATGGTCAATCTTTTCAATCATCTAAAAATAATCCAGAGTTGCAGTCCTCTGAATGATCTGATATCATTAACTAAATTAAAGTACCTGCTGGAAACTAGGACATGGTCTGTCTGAGTTGAAACTCCATTTGTCTATGTTTGCTTTGTTTCTCCTTAAGGAAATATAGTAATCATCTCCTAAAATGATGTGGATGCAGAAAAACTAAGCATTTATTCGTTGTTATCTTTTGTGTAGACTAGGCTCACCAAACATAGGTACAAATGAATTCTTTCCAGCGTGTGTGTTAAAATCACTCACCACTATCTTCATATCAATTGAGGGGAAAGAGCCTATAGTTGGTTCTAAATCCTCATATAATTGGTCATTTTCATGCTATTTTTTTTTCTGATGGAGCATGAATATTTATGATAATAGTGTTCAACTTCTTTCTCTGCAACCTTAATTCACTTTGCCACCAACAAAGCTGCTCTATCCTGATTTCTGAATAAAAAAAAAGGCTGGTGAAAGTCACTATGTGAAGATCATAGCCAGTCCTTAGCCAAGATAAAAGAGGAAGTTGAAGAGGGTGTCTGACTACTCACCTTTATTAAAAAAGTCAAGTTATAAGTTCTCAACTGTCTCTGCTTGGTTCCTAGATGAATTCATGGAAACAACCTTGAACTCTTATTTTAGCTTACAAGATAGCAACTTGGAATACAAGGTCACTTTATAGACTTGGAACAGTAATGGAACTGAAAACAACTCCTGCATCTTAAAATTGATATAACAGCTTTCCAGGAAACTTGATGGACAGGATAAAAAAGCAAACTGTTAAAAAACAAAGGAAATAAATATTAACCAATTTAACTCTTTATATTTAATGAATAACTGTTAGTTGTGAAAGTTTTCGATAAGCTATATTTTAAAGTGCATAATTTTTTTAGGACCTTACATTTTAAGTGGATTTTTTGGGCTAAAAACATTGCTGGATGATGCTTTCCTCAGAGAAATTGGTTCTGATCAAGTTAATGTGAGTATTTTTTTTTTCCTTCACAAATTATGATCCATTTCTATCTTGCGAATCATTTATCAATCTCATGAAGCTCTGCTTGTTTCAGCTTGTTTTTCTTATTGAAATTATGGACCTGATAAATATCTTATAAACATATTTATATTAAAAATGTTGTATAAACAATTGTATCTAACTATAGGTTATAAACATTTTATAATAATAATAAAAAGCTTAGCGAACCCGAAGGTTCGATGCCGACACCACCAATTACTGTCTACACACCTCCCTCTACCATTCGCCGTCCAAATCCAGTCCCATCAGTTCGTCTTAACGCAATCTTCCCACCTTCGCTTCGGCCTACCCCTTGGAGGTATACTAGTTGGAACAGCAAATATCAACCTTTTAGAAATTCTTTCGTTACTAAGTCCAACAATTAATCAAGCCCATTTTATTTGCCGCGATGTAATCACCTCATTTATATTAACCAGATACAATTCACTCAATTCGGCATTATGTAACCATCTGAACTCTCCAGTTAACTCATCCTTCTTCCGTCTGAATATTCAACACAATAATTTATTTTCAAAAACTTACCAATACTATAGATACTTACCAAGCTCTCTCTCAGCAGACAGGAGGAGTTTGCAGTAAATAACATTTGAGAGGATCTTATAAGCACACTGAAGAAGTGAGATCCCACGGTAATTGGAGCAGTTAAGGATATTATACTTCTTGTGTAAGTAGATAAATTATTCCCTTCTTCCACTGATCTGGCATTTTCTCTTCAATCCAGATGGCGAGGATGATGTCGTAGAGGACTCTCTGAAATTCCTCACCACCATGCTTGAGAAGCTCAGAAGGAACTCCATCCTCTCCTGGGGCTTTGTTGTTGTTCAGCCTGTTAACTGCTTCAAGAACATCCTCACATGTCGGTGGGTCTGGGGAATCCAGGTCATGCTCAGCACTTGGGATTATGAAATCGTCCATACCATCTGCACCCTCGTTCAGAAGTGTATCAAAGTGATGAGACCATTGGGCCAAAATCTGCTCCTTCTCTGTGATCATGGAGCCGTCTTCGTTTCAACATAATCGGACCCTTAGTTTGAATGATGTCCTACTCTCATTCACCGGCTTGTAGAATGCCCTTGATTTACTCTGTCTCCTTTGCTCCTCCATTTCCCCTAGCTGTCGCCTTTTCCATTCTTTAGTCTCTGTAGTCTCTTCTCTTCCATCCTTCTGTTTCTATACTCCTCTGTGGCCCTTCTTGTGTGCCGCTTCTGAACCATGTTTTTGTAGGCTTTATTTTATAAATTCGTAGCAGCTGGACACTCTGCATCAAACCACGGGGACCTAGCTGCTCGTTCCTCTATCTCTTCAACTTCCTTTGCTTTTTCCTTAACGATTCGGGATAATGTATTCCACTGTTCCTCTGCAGAGCCCTCGCGATGTTCCCTTTCATCCAACATTCAGCAATTGTGTTCACTGACTTATGGATCCTTACGCTTGGATGTCGCTATTCTTTCTATCTTCTTTCTCCTGGTTTTTCTTGCATTGGATATCCTGGCTCTGATCCTAGATATCACCAGATAGTGGTCGGTATCTATGTTGGTTCCTCGGTAGGATCTGCAACTTATAAGATTGGATCTGTGCCTCCTACTGACCAGGATGTGATATATTTGGTTCACAGTACTTCACCATGCTCCTTTATGGATGTTTTTGCCAGGAAAGAGCGTGCTGCCGACAACCAGGTCCTTGGATGCAGCAAAGTTTATCAGCATTCGGCCATTCTCATTTGTGTCATTATGGAGACTGTGCATTCCAATAGTTAGTTTGAAGACTAGTTCCTTGCCAACCTTTGCATTAAAGTCTCTCATGATGATCTTTATATTACTTCATAGTAAACTAGATTAAATTTACATTAAATTCAAGTCAATCTTGTCTTTTTCAAAACAATTTAAGAGGGACAGTTAAACTACGGTAAGTTCGGGTTTTCATAAAATCAAGTATTCTAGGTGATTTGTTTTGTAACCCCTCAACTAGACTGAAGATACCACACTTTCAAAAAAACTTCCTTGTTCGATGAGCTTTAAATCTGTATTAATTAAGTTGTTTACATTTTCTCTAATTGAGTAAAAATATTATTAGTACGGAAAAATTAGGAATCAACCCAAATATTTTTACATCTTTTTACTCAATCAGGAATGAATCTCAACTTAGTCTGTAACAAAGCACAAATTTCGGAAATGCAATTTTCAATGGATCTATACGTTTCAGAGCCCCCTGAGTCCGAAAAACACATTTTCAGCCATTGTTCTGTCTGTCTGTGCCAAGATTATCTCAGAAACTAATGGGCCGATTTTGTTGCTTCTTTTTTTATTTTGTTGGGTTTTGATTACTGGTGACTGTGACTTAAATTGGGTGTTCCCTGCGCAATAAGTGAAAAACATATTTTTCTCTAGACTGTTGTGCTAAACTGCTCTAACAATTTTTATGAAACTTTTCTATAATTTTCTAATTAATGTCCTTTATATTTTTGTATGTACTAAATTTTCGAGAAAATTCAGGAAAAAAAGTTATAAAGTAAAGAAAACTCACTAAGTATGTATTCTGTGGTAAAATTTATATGAAAACTTTTGAAAGGTAATTAAATTACCTTCAAAACAAAAAAAAAAATCATCAGAATCAAACCAGTATTAGTGATACATTTTTTAGAAATTTGATGAAATTCCCTACAAACCTACATAAAAATCATTCATTTTGGACAACTATTCAGGACTATTACAAGGTGAAACTTTAAGCCCGATTCTATTTATTATTTTTATCTCAAATATTATATCTTACTTTGAAAATAGCGGAGCATCTGGTTTACCTATAGATAGCAAAAATGAAGTCCTAATGCTCCTATTGGCATACGACATTGTAATGTTAAGTAACTCGTGGCATAGCACCCAAAAGAAACTTCAGATCCTTGAACGGTATTGTGCACAAAATTCACTGGTCTTAAAACCCCGAAAAATCTAAAGTTCTGGTATGCCATAAGTCACCAAGAATGAAAAAATTAAAGTCACTGTTTTGGCAAAATAAACGCCTGGGATTTACAAAATGTTATAACTACCTAGGAGTTCGATTTCCAACATCGGCAAAATTTTCTAAGGCTGGTGAACACTTTATTCAGAGTTCAAATGTTGCAGGAGCAAAAGTACATGAGATTTTAATAAGAGGAAAGAGCGATGCATGGGAAACCAAAATGGCTCTCTTTGATTCAATGGTCTCCTCAACTCTTCTTTATGCATCCGAAGTTTGGGGCTTAAGATATTTTGAATCAATCGAATTAGCTCAAGTGAAATTTCTTAAGCAATTATATTTTAGGCCCAGATCAACACCTAATTATATAGTACGATTGGTAACCAGACTTTCGCCCGTTCTAATGGCAGTTTTGAAGAAAACTATAAATATTTGCATAAAAATATCTTCATTGCCAGACCATCGACTTCCGCAAATGTGTTTGCAAAAACTTGTGGCTATGGACACTAGGCAGCCTAATCTCGAATTCAACTGGATATCACAAGTTAAAAAGTTAGCTGCTTGTAATTTCGTTCAGGAGTACTTCAACGATTTCTCGGCTCCAAAGATATTAATAAAGAACGAAAAAACTATTTTGACAGTTGTACCTAATAACTTATATTCTTAAGACATTGAATGCGCCTTTAATTCCAACTATAGTCACATCTATTGGCGAATCTGTTGTTATAACTATCCAGAACTGCAAAACTACCTTAAATTTATTTCCCCTCTACGAAAGCTGCATACAGAGTGCTGTCTGAGAGTTTCAAGTAATGAACACCTGGCGCTATATCATGGAAATATCGCTCGTGTTTTAAGGGCTGAAGAAATTTGTAAGTGATGTGATCACCTTATCACTAATGGCATAAAGCATTTGATCCTTGAATGTTCGTTTGTTGAGATTCAAAGAAAGAGATATCTCGATAAATATATCAATATGGGCACGGGTGACTTATCGTTGGAGAGAGTTTTAGATATTAAAAGTCTTGAACACTTGAACAATGTCTTTTACTTTATTGTTCATATTTTTTACTCCCATAGTTAACTTAATAACCAGAAACTTTAAAACTAATGATTAATCATGTTTTAGTATATCATACAAATGTAACGCATATTTTCTTACCCGTTAAAATGGCAACAAATACATCGCATTATTGTTGCCTAAAGAAGTATATTATATCTTATCTTATCTTATAAAATTTGTAGTTTTTTTTTCTGTTTTAATTTAAATTTATTATGTGTGTGAATCTACTGTGAAACTTAGTTTATATTTGTTTTATATTAATGTATTTATCTTTTTTTCTTCTTATATTGTCCTCACGTATTATATCATGTTTTATATTTTATACCTGTTATTTACAAACTAACTCCAACAAACATTGATTGGGCCAGACTCCATGGCTACGCTGTTTATAAGCCAATAAATAAATAAATAAAAAAAAACTATTAACGAAGTTCCAGCTATTCAATTTCGTATCTAAGATTACGGATTCATATTCTGGTGTCAGGAAGGAGTGAATGAGAGAAAAAAAAGAAAAGTCAGTGAAAGTAAGAATATCTGTTGCCTGCTTACACAAATTTCACTTTCCTTTCAACTTTTAACAGAAATTATTATTTGACAATACGGGGCTAGGCTTAAAAAATTTTTGATTTGCAATATTTGAGGGTATTGACATTGTTACACTGATTTTCCACAAGATGGTTTACATTGTATAGTTTATCCAAAAAATTGTACTCAAATCCTTTCTTTGATCAATTTTCAGGAAAATAAATCTAATTCAATTTTTTTTTTTCTTAATAGATATATTTATAGATATAAAAACTCTTCTGAAATAGGTAGGAAAGTCGTGTGAGTGGACACATCAGATTTTTTAGTTATTACGTTTTATTCAACATAAAACTTGGTTGGCTTTAAAATTATCAAGTTTCCTGGTTGTCAATGACTTTTAAGAATC